GGGGGCGGTCCGGGGGTAGGGGGTAGGGGCACCGGCCCCAGGGACGGTTTCGTTTCTTCCACGTGAGGTTAGAAACAACAAAAATAACACACGTGCTCCGTTCCCAGACCGACTTTGAAACTTCCCTGACCTCTGTCTGGAACCAAGGCCCCTGGTCTACCGCCCCATCCACCAGGCCAGCTCCGGTGGGTATCCCCCCCCACCCCACAGCGCACTCTTCATAAAACGCCATTGTCTTCTTTTCATACGCGTTAGAAAAAACACAGCCCGTGCCCCTAACCGAAGCCCTTGGACCCCCTTGCCCCCTCTTTGGCCCCCTTCCCAGAACCGAAGTAAAAAGAAGAACAATGGCGTTTTTTGAAGGGTGTAGGGTGGGGGTGATACCCACCGGAGCTGGCCTGGTGGAGGGGAAGGTAGACCAAGGCCCGGGTCCCAGCAAGAACTTCGGTTCGGGGGGGCAGGGGGTAGGGGCACGGGCCCCCAGGGACGGAGCAAATTTCGCAACTTGTGTTATTTTTGTTGTTTTGAAAGGTGCCCGGAAAAAAGGTACCACCGGAGCTGGCCTGGTCCGGGGAGGCTTCGGTTTCGGGGGGGGGCAAAGAGGGGGCAAGGGGTGAGAGGTCTAAGGGTTTCGGTTCCGGAAAATAGGGACGGAGCAAATTTCGCAACTTGTGTGTTTTGGTTGTTGTGGGGGTGGGCGGGGATACCCACCCGAGCTGGCCTCCTGGAGGGGGGGGTAGACCAAGGGCCTTGGTTGGAGGGTGTAGAGCAAGGTCAGAGCCTCGCGACGTGTAGCCGTGCCCTGTAAGGTGGGGGGAGAAACGCACCGGAGCTGGCTTGGTGGACGGGGGCGTAAACCAAGGGCCTTGATTGGAGGGTGTAGAGCAAGGTCAGAGGGGGGGTGTTCCAGGGGAGGGTTGGAGGGTTGACCTCGCGACGTGTGGCCGTCACGGTTTGCCTCGTGCTGTTTGGTGCAGATTGGTGCAGATCCCATTGCCGCAACGATTGCGAGGGGAACACAAGAGCACGGCCTCCTCAGCGGCGACTTGAGCCGCAAAACCACATGCACGCGACCGCCACCAAGTAACAACCGGATTCAAGATGGAGTAAAAGGTAGAAAGCAGTTGGAGGTGGCCACGTAGAAGCCACCATCCAAAGGGCTTCCCCGGCGCTCGACCCCCAGAGCGGGGTCGGCGGATTAGGAGGTCGATGGTTTTTCTGGTGGCATCAATTGCAAGGTTCCAATGGTGATGCAGTCAGGCCTTCATATTCCAAGTCTGGCTTTCTAAGCGAAGCCTTTACTTAATTGACACCCGCCAAATTGAATAGAAGGTCCGAAATCTTTTTGGAAAGCTTTACTTTATTTCCCCCACCCAGTGCTAGTCGGGATTTAATTTTAGAAGGCGTGATTGCACCGTCACTGTATTCAATACGACTAGTGGTAGTAGTGGCAGTAGTACTTGTATGGGTATGAGTACTACCAGTACGTAGCGGTAGTGTGCGTACCAATACCAGCATCAGTATCAGTTGTGGTATTTGTAAGAGCTGCATGCGTAGTGATAATCATATCGGTACAAAACAAGTTCAACCACAGTTGATAAAGCCAAGCCTGCAAGCTTCAACAAAAATGGAAATAAGACCTACCACTAACGTATCCTTGCACCACAAAGGGTTCCAGCCTAAATCCACCAAAGCGGTCCCCCCCATTTTCTTTCACTTGAGCTTCGCGATCCATATTTCCATTTTTGAAGCAAAGTTTTCCAGAGATGATAAGGCTGAGGCCGCCCAAATATTTTGCCATTGTACAATTCTTGCGCAGATGCGCCTGTTGTGGACTGAAGCTCTCGAGCGTAAAGTTGTTCTCAGATGGATGAGGTCTCACAGAGATTGTTTCTGTGCTAGTCACAATAAGTGTTGGTTGTTGACTCAAAGCTTAGAGTCTTAGAGATCCAGACTATCGAGATTTTAAGGAAAAAAGCTTGCATCGCTGCTGCCCGGGCCACAACGTTTTTGACATTGAGCAAGGCAACGAAGCAATAGCACTGAAGAAGGCCTGCGTACCCAGTGGATTAAGCCCCACAGCAAGATTGACAAAAACCGACGCAACACAAGTACTTGGCATTAACTGTTGCTCTGCGATTTGGAGCTTGTAGGCTTAGAGATTCAAGCTTGAAAAAGAAAAACAACTTCTGGAAATTAGATTTTTGCCATCCATCTTTACTTTGAGTGGATCCAGTCTCACAGAAATTGTGGTTGGGCAAACTTAAACATTACTTGTTCTATCATTTAGTTTGCAAACGGGTCTGCGCGGCCCCCAACCCCCCTTCCTCGTTTGCTGAGCAATCCATGCTGCGCGTAAACAACATCATGTCATCGCTATGTTTGCATTTAGGGAGGGTTATGCGGATCGTTTGGTTTGCAAATGGGGGGTGGCTGCGCCCCGCAGCCCGCTTGCTTTCATGCTTACCGTAAAGAGCATCTTGTCATCACCATGTTTGCAGTAATGGAGGGTTATGCGGATCATTTTGTTTGCCAAATGGGAGAGGTCTGCGCGCCTCCAGCCCCCCTCACGCTTTTTTCAGCAATCCATGCTTGCCATGAAGAACATCATGTCCTGCTAGTATGTTTGCAGTGACTGAGGGATATGCCCCTCATTTTGTTTGCGAAGGGGGGGGGGGCCCCTCCCAACTTAACGCAATCCATATGTCATAATCATGTTTGCAGTCAGCAAGGGTCATGCGGATCGTTTTGTTTGCAACGGGCGGGGGGCTGCACCCCCACCCAACCCTTCCTGCCGTCAAGAACATCACGGCATTATGTTTGCAGTCAGGGAGGGTTATGCAGATCGTTCTGTTTACGAATGGGGGGGGGCTGCGCCCCCCCCCCAACCCTCTTGCTTAGCTGATTTCAAAGACAGTCCATGCTTATTGTGAAGAACATCGCCATTACTATGTTTGCAGTCAGGGAGGGTGACGCGATTCGTTTGGTTTGCAAATGGGGGGTGGCTGTGCCCACCCGAACCCTGCGCTTTTTGTTTCGAAATCAAGCACTCGCGTGATGTGTCCCGAGATTCTTCACTGTCGTTTCAAAATTCATTGGTTCAAAATCTTGCTCTGGCGTGGAGTGTCCTCACATCTTGGTTTGAAATTGAGCTCTCGCGCATGCCCCCGCAAGCCCCGCCCCGCTTTTCGTCAAAGACCAGCTCCATAACCAACGGTTCTGGCAGATTTGATTCCCGAATCCTGGATTCAGGGTGCTTGACGGATTCGAGGTTCAAAAACCATGCTCCCATGACCATGTTTGCAACGGCTGTCTTCAAGAATGTTTCGAGCAGGGGGCTCCAACGGATTCTGACAGATTCAACGATTCTCGAATCCTGGCTTTGGGGAGTTGGAGATTGGGTCTCGACAGATCCCCGCGGATTCCGACGGATCCAAGCTGCAAAATCTGTGCTCTTGTTACGATGTTCGCAATGTTTGTCTTCAAGAATTTTCTGCACGCCCGCCAATGCCCCCGCGTTTTGGTGCGAAGGCCGCAAATCCGTGCAAGTAAGTCAAAAAAGTAATATCGCCTGAGCGGGTTGCGACCCCCGAACGTCCCGGCTGTAATAACAAAGCCAAGAAAGATTGGGTTTGGACAAATCCCGCGGAGTCCAAAGCATCCGAGCTGCAGAATCTGCGCTAGGCTTAAGTACCCACTCGTTTTTCCATGACCGAGTCTGCCAACCAGGCATTCGCGGTCGTAAAACTAGGGTTCCGGGGTCGGAAAAAAGGGGTTAGGGGAGGTTGGGAAAAATGGGGTCGGGAATCAGGAAAGCGGCGGGTTCAGGGTTTGAAAAAAGAGGAGGGGGTTAAAACAGGGTTCAGGGGTTAGAACAACGGGTTGCCCTAACGTGTGGTGCGAGATTTCCTCCTTCAACAATAATTTCCCCAGAGGATGGCTTCGAGCCAGCGAGCTTCTGCCTGCAAAACTTTAGCCTGTCTCCCAGTAAGGTAGGCTGGCCTCAGAGTTGGGGTTGCTTCGAGACGAGCTCCAGGACTCATTAGCAGCAGGCGGAAAGCACATGTTGCTAGTGCTCCTGCTTTGCACTCTACTCTCATTTCAGGCATGGAGAGCTGGTCCAATCGTCTTGGTGAGGCCCAGCAGCGCTGGAGCCAGACAGCGCAGGACATCCTTCAAGTGCTGAAGTGCAGGGAGGGCTTTGTCTCCCTTTTGACGGTGCAGCATGCGAGATATGCGAGCCACAGTCTTTAGGGACTTTGCTGCGACAGGAGCTGGATGTGGGGATTGCCACTTCCAAGGAGACGCGCCTACAAATCTCCCTGACTTACATGCCATGCAGATTCAATCCTGTCTTCCAGGAGCAGCTGGCAAGCCTGACAGGTGTAAATGCGTCGCTGCAGGTCGTGGGTGACATTGCTTGGTAGTGCAGCGGTCTTCTAGGGAATCCTGCTCGAAGGATTCTATGGCCAGCTTTGGCAAAAACCTGGCGGAGCTGCGTGACGTGCAGCAGACGCTGGAACACTCCATGAACGGACTTCAGGCCTTAAGTTCTCTACTTGTAGGAAGACTTGGGCATCACACACCGAAACACTTGACGTGCGAGGCCAGGAGAGACTCCGACCTCACAGACGTCACTCTGCTTGCTGCAGACAGCCGATCCTTCAAGGCGAAACTGACGGAAGAGATGTTGGACATGCTTCTCTCCTGCAGCTGACACTGCATGCCAGCGCCATCCCAGAAGCAATCTTGCAGACTGGTCGTAGACGCCAAGGCAAAGTACCAGCCGCTCCATCGGGCACCGGATGAACACCGTGGAGACAGCATGCGCTGGGGCCGACCGGCAACACGGCTGCATGAAGGCTGCCATGACGACACGATGTGCTATGGTTGAGTCCACTGCGACCACTGCAGCATGCCTCAGCAGAAACACAAGGACAAACTAAGAGCATCGAAGCATCACATGCGCTCAAATCGCTCTTGACATACCTTCAAGTAAAATGCGCCATGGCGATGGCAGAGATGGCAGAGCGTGTGGAGCTTGCGGAGCTGCAGATGCGGAGTTCATTTGCTCTCGGTGCAGGAGGGTGAAGTTCTGCGGCCCTGCTTGCTTTCGCAAAACGTGGAGCGCACACCGAGCCTTTTGCCTGCCACGGCCTGTTAGCGATGTCAGCAAGGCGCCAGAGACACCAGTGCACGGTGGGATTGCGGTGGTGGTACCTTTCCGAGACCAGATGCCACTGCAGGACCGTTGCCGCCAGCTGTCCCAATTTCTCGAGCACATGAGATCTTTTTTGACGGGTGTCCCGCACGTGATCGTGGTTGTTGAACAGTCGCAAGATGGAAGGAAATTCAACCGCGGCCAGCTGTTGAATGTGGGGTTCAGAGTTGCAGCTGAGGTGTTGCCTACCATGGAAGCGTTCATAACTCACGATGTTGACCTCCTACCTTCTCGTGACATGCTGCCTGTTTATATGCGCCCACCGCCTGAGTTGCACGCAGTTCATTTGGCATCAGTTTGGGAGAGCCAAGGCAGAATCTGTAAAGTCGTTTTGCTTTCTCACGCATTCTCTCATTTCAGAAACCTTAAAACAAGAAGCCATCAACATTTATGGCCTGAAAGTGCTGGTGCCGGTCTGGCTCAGGAAGTACTCGTACAAGAGCTTTCTGGGCGGCGTGTTGTCCTTTCGGCCCAAGGACTTTGAGCGAATAAACGGCTACCCCAATGACTACTGGGGCTGGGGTTTAGAGGATGACCAGCTTGGACTTCGCATGGCTCACAATGGTGTGCGCACTCTTCGGGTGAAGGTTGGTAAGTTCGAAGATTTAGACCCCATCAACATGAAGGCTGTCCTAGAGCGCCGAGACGGCAAAGAGGTGAAAAGCCATCTGCCCTGGTACAACTCCAGCATGTTTCAGAGGGGTGAGCTCGAGCTGGACCAAGACTGGTCGACTAATGGACTTCGCAACCTGGAGTTTCACCCAGTTAATTGCTGGATGGATGGCCACGTTCACCACAGAGTTGTAATGCTGGGCAGGCTTGAAAATAGCTAAGATGCCAGACACAACGCTGAGCATGGCAGAGAAAGGATGCGGTGTGCTTACGTGTGTTGCTGCTCAGGTCAGCCGGCACTGCGAGAGCAGAAGTGTCCGCTCTGCGCACATCCATGGAGGCATCGCTGGACCACATGAAGGTTCGCTTTGGGACTCAACCGTTGACAGCATCCAACAGCATCAAGCCTCTGGACAGGCCATGAAAGACGAGCTGTGCCGGGAGCTTGATACCAAAGGCAGAGGGATTCTTTCACTTTCTAGCTCATGTGAGAGTCGCCTGCAACTTTGCAGCAGATCGTGCTGCTCGTGAAGCTGTTGAGACCGCCCAGCTGGAAGGACATCGCGCCGCACGCGAGGAGCTTTGCCTCGTTGTGAACTCTTGTGTGAGGGTGCTTTCAAGTGTCCAGGAGCTTTGCAGGGAGCAGCGCCATCTGCGCGCGGAGGTGGCTGAGCAGACTCAGCGGCTAACTAGCGTGGAGCGGCGAGCCAAGGCGCTGGGTCAGCTGTGCTCGTGGCACCGGTTGGCGCGAGTTCCGCGTTGCTTGCAGGATGTAGCACGCGGTGAGGAAGCAAGCGCACAGCGCGTTGCTGCTCTGTCAGAACAGGCTACCATGACGGAGAACGTACTTGTAGCTGCGATGCATACTTCAGTTGAGCCACGCAACCAGGTGGAGCGGCTTGCTCGAGCGGCACAGTCCGCAGGTGATGCGGGCAATCGGGAGCTTTTTGCCGAGTTGAAGACGGCGGTGTCGCGCGTGGAGGAGCTCCAAAACCAGGCAGTCTCCATTTCAAGCTGCTTGAAGCGCAAGATGTCTGCTTGAAGGTCACCCGTCTACTCCGTGATTCGAAGAAGAGCACGGAGAAGCTGGAGACGGTCCTCCCCCGCTTACAGGACACCCAGCAAAAGAGTCAGTATGTGTTTACAAGGTGGCTGTTGCAAGAGGAGACTGAACGGGCTGTCGAGCGCCTTTCTCGCGGCAACGGAGCGCAGGTCTTGAGAGAGGTGCAGGACTTGAGGCGCGCGGCTCAGCCACGCAGCAGCTGAGCCGCATCTGACAAAGCAGGTCGCAGCTTGCCGAACTACGACTCGCTTCTCTGACTCCCCGCACAGCTGGCACAGCCTTGGGCAGGAGAAGAAGTTCAGCACAGTATTAATTCTGACTCGGAGTCTCCGAGCGGAAGAATACTGACGCACTGCTACCCCGCAGGATTTGTGATGCTAAAACAAGGTCAGGCTGGTTTCATCAAGCTGTTGGGTTCATGTGTGTTGAGAAGTCGTTTATGCAAATTACTTCGCTCGTAGTTTGCCTAGCATTCCCAAGTCAAAGAATGTGAGTTTCGGAGACCGCGCTAGGAGTGGCGAGACGCGACGCCTGGGCTGGCAGCTTGGGGAGCTTTGAGGTGAGTCCTCAAGCTGCCTTCAACCGCCCAACTGATCCAACTGAGGCCAATGTAAATCTGCTTGAGATTCGATTCTGTTGCGGCTCTGGGCGTTGACTGCTAAACTGCTAAATCCGACTGGACAAGTTTTCCGTCCATCTCCACACGCGCTCTGCTAGCATCTTTCGCTGGGATTGCAGTCAAAGCCTGCGGGATTTTTATCCTGCCAAAGCTGTAGCCGGCTCTGGTCGAAAAATGGCTGTGAGCGCTGCGGGCACCTGCCGCCTCAGAATAGATGATCGCATCCTGGCTCTTCAGTCAGTTATGCCATCAGATCCATCAGGGCATAACTTAAGACTGTCTCTTCTGAAAGCCAGCCGGGGAGGTGCCGGTCTCAACGCGGACACCGCCAGGCTGGGCTGCCAACTTAGACTGGAAGTTTCTCAAAAGGATTGTCTTCTTTGCACAGGTGCCTTGGAGGAAAGGTTTCTTGGAGCCGGACACTTGGCAGCCTTAGCAGCCTTCGACTCTGATTTATGCTTCGCTTTTTCTGTGCGCAGGTCTACCCGCGAGGCCGGCATGCTTAAGCTGCTGCATTGAAGGTTCTTTTGATGCCTTTGTTAGGGCTGAAGGACACGGCGGTCTCTGAGCTCGTCGGTTGCAGCTTCAGAATGCACCATGCTATGCCATGCATCCGCCATGCTGGTGGCCCTCGGCGCATGCAGGCCGAGGCTGCGAGGTGTTGGTTGATCTTGAGGAGTTTGCGGTGAATTGTCAGGGTTGTTTCTCAGACAGCTTCCGGCAGGAGCATTGCGTGCTCCTCTTTCGCACCGCAGAGGCTCAGTGGGCTTGAAGGCAATGTTGGAGCCTGTCTTACACACGGCCACAAGGCAGTGGAGCTGGGTGGTAACCTCACATCCAATTTGCACGTGACCGTGGCCAGTGAAGCGAACATTTGACATCGAGGCTCTTTCCTCCTGCTGTGCGAGGTGCCCTGGGAGTGCGCGCTCGGTAAGTGGCAAGCTCAGGAAAAAGGCATGTTGTTGCAGCAGGGTGCTCTTGTGCTGCAGTTGTTGCTGCCTGTGGCCAAGATCATGTCGTTTGTTTCTTCCGCAGAGGCCTCAAGGACCTTGCTCAAGCCCTCAGCTAGCTTTCCTGCGCACCTGAGCTTACCCACCAAGGCAGTCGCCAACTTTGCACGACATAGCTCGAGTGGCACGCGAGCAGGCTGGACCCCATGCTGGGCCTGGCAGAATTCACAGTCTGCCCACGAAAAACAAGATGCGTGCCATCGTGCATGGCCACATGCAAAAAAGCTTCGTCGAAGTGTGCAGCTGTTCGGGTCTTTGTGTCGAGAGCTTCTCGACGCGGGTACTGAGCTTTATTAGTGGTGGGATGGCGCAAATTCTTGTTGACTCAAGCATCGCTGAACGCCCAGAATCTCTCAGCGGCAGAGGAGTTGGCGCGTGAATAATTTTGGCCGAATAAAGCGAGGATCAAAGTGCCAGGGAAGTTTGGAGCTTTGTACTCGTCAGATCTTGTCAGCGCAACGGCTGATGGTCGACCTCGTGGCCAGCCGATGGCGGTTCCAACTTTTGGGGTGCAAGGTTTGATGCTTCCGCTTGTAGTGCTCGCACATGCTCTCCGCCCAGTCGGCTTCTTCAGATGCCTCTACCTATACAATGTCATGCTCGTTGATGCACAGTGGAGTTTTTTGATTTCACAGGTATGCTCTGCTTCGACCTTTTGGCGTAGAGGAATGCGACCCTACCAGACCTGGCGGGCGCGAGCCACAGACAAGATTGCCTTTCATTAAAGCATGTATGGTACGAGTCGTGATCTTGCCTCATCGCTTTGTCGCATGTATTTGTAAATGCCGAGCTCTGGACCTCTTGAGGAAATTGCTGTTCAAGGGGCAAGTGGCCCATTTGAATCGACACTAACTAGTGCTGAACAATCTTTACACCGTTTCCACCAGGCGTTGTGCATTTCGTGACGGTTTGTTTTTGTTTTTGCATGGCAACCACACATTGACATGGGCAAAACTGGGACAGGAGCCCTAGCCAAGTCTAAGCAGTTGCAATCTTTGGGACCCTAGGCTGTGATCGTGTCTGAGAGTCTAAAATGGCTTCTCCATTCAGAGTCCAAGTCCATGGCCTGCGAGCTCCACCACTCCTCTGGGCGATTGAAGCAGTGGCTTCAGGCCTGTGGCACACTTTCACCCCGCAGACCACACAGCCTCCCAGCCTTTCCCAGCCTTCAAGTTGTTGACGTCGCTGACCTGTGTATTTTGGAGGAGCACGGCACGAGATGTGGGTCAAACAGGGCCGCGGCTCCCGAGCGTGTGCAGGCCCCTGAGGGCTGTGAGCCTTGAGAGCCCAGAGCCTTTGGAGATGCGTGCCAGGAGGCAGCAACGAAGCTGGAGCTGGCTGTCTCGCACAGACAGGCAGAGATAGCCAACCTGCGTTCAGCAGCGCAGAAAGCCCAAATGGCTCTCGAGAATGTACATGCCCAAGAGCAAGAGGCCAGCGAAGCTCCTGTTCTGAGAAGTAACAACTATGAAAGTGCTGAGTGCTGAATGGAAAATCACCGCGAAGGAAGCTGCTCTCGAAGAGATGGCACATGTGGCGTTTGCCAAAGACCTACAGGCACCTTTGCCTTCGAGCTTGGGATAGCGGAATCGGGCGAATTGTCTCGCTACAAAGGCGTCATTGCATGCCGAGAAGCAGCTTTTGGAAAGATTGGACGCGGAAGAAGAGGAAGCTAAAATACATGCTGCCTTGTTTCCTGGTGATTATGGTGAGACACACTGGTTTTGAATTATATCAATGAGTCACTGTTACGGGATTTCAGGTGCGACCGTGCCGACTCGCAGCAAGATGTGGCCATTGCAGAGCTCCGCGAGATCCGCCGCAGCCTGGAACCATTGCAGGAGAAAGCACATACGTCTGGAGTAAGTTGCCAGCATTTGCCAGCTCGGCTCTGTGCAAGTGTTGCCAGGAGGCGCTCTCGCGTGAGCAGGTCTGAGATAAGATGCTGACAAGCAACGTGCTCCAACTGACATCGCTGATCGCTTCTTAGGCAGTGGTGGCTGCACTCAAGTCAGAGCTCGCAGCAGGCCGCCTGAGTTGCCTGAGCTCAGGGGCTCGGTGTTTGTGATTCCTGATTATGCCCACACAGTGATGGGATTGGTCAGGCCAAGTCCGAGCTGTGTGCTTGGCACAGGAGGCAGCGGATGCAAGTCACAAAAAGCAAGCGTCTCATGAAGTTCGGGGCTCAGCTGCTCAGCTCTGGTGGTCGCTCTTTCTTTTGCAAAGCCACCGTTTTCGTCTACCAGGTGCGTGAGCCACTGGTGCACTACTTCGCCAGCCGCGCCTTTCAGGATGTACACATTCGTACACCTCATATGTCCTAGACTTGTTCCAAGGCTGCTCCAGATGCAAGCGTTGAGGGCCTTAAGCAGGACTGGGAGGAGAGGCGAGCCGACAGTCTCCGAACTCGGCGGCCCGGCAAGCAGCTCTAAAAAGTATCCGGCGTTGGAGGGGTGAGGGTTGAGGCTCTGGGGCTCTGCTGGGACCAGGCCAGGGCTTGGCCTTCAGGAAAGGGGAGGGATAACGAGTCTGTTCTCAGCGGACTGCAAAGCAGGGACTTTCTCGCTTCGTTTTGTTTAGCCTCTCTCACTCTCTGCTTTAAACTCAGTTGTAATCTCAAGTGTCCAGGGCAGAGATCAAGCATAGTCGCATAGCTTTGGCCCTGCCGACCCAAAACGAAACTCACGTCTGCCAAATGTCCATCAAAGGTCGCTGCAAAAGCGATGCTTCCAAAGGCTGCTGGAGAGCCATGGAGCGACAAAAGCCTGCTGCGAGCAAGCAGTGTTTTGGATTATCTTAAGCCCTCTTGCAGTGGTCCTCAGGTGAGAGGTTGGCAAGGCACAGCAAAGGAGAAGAGCACAAATCCAAGGAGGCCATCAAATCGCGGAGGCGGGTCCACTTGACGAAGGCTATCTTGGATTCGTGGCGGTTCGTGGAGGCGAGCAAATGGGCAACCATGCAAGGGCAATGTGTTAACTTGGCGCGCCTCACTGCGTGTCAGTGCGTGGTTTGAGTGGTTAAGGAAAACTGGCAAGCTGAAGCGCGTTTCCTGAAGCAGATCCCTAGCAGCAAGAAGGAACGGGCTTTGGGAAAGTTTAGCCTTAGCCGCTGCTGTTTGGAGACCGAGGCTGCTTTGTGCCTGGGCTGGGCAGCGCTTCGGTGCAACTGGGCGGCGCCTGCGTGCCCAGCATCAACGAAGGCAAGGTGCACGAGCTTGACATCGGTTTGGCTCCTGCATGCCTCCGCTGTTGGAGGCAGCTTGTCAAGATGCTGGATGCATGGTCCAGGCCGCGAAATGGCCGCGAATGCTTTTCATGACTCTATCACATGGCTCTTGAGTCTGGGTGTGGCTGGGTGTCGCTGTAGGCTCGTGGCAGCACATCTGAAAGCGGCGCTTGAATCGAAGCCGGACAGATCCGCTACATACATGATCCTCCGCAGAGAGCGCGAAAGGTTCACCCCGTTTTGCTTGAGCTGCATCTATCCAGCAATGATTTTGCCAACCTGACAGTTGCGTTTGCGCCTTCCGCGCATGGAGCTTTCACAGCTGGCTGGCCGTCCGCCGATCCTTGCTTCTGAATGGCTTCTGGAAACGACGCCAAGTGGCCTACGCTGCAAGAGGCTTGCGCCGGCTGAGGCATCTGCAAAGACCCAGTGTGCCACCATGAAGTGATTAGCAGATGATTGCCCAGTTGTCCTTCCCTTGTCTTTGCACAGGACTGTGAAGCGATGGAGCTGGCCTGTCCTAGTACTGTATCTTGGCCTGCCCTTGGCCGGTAGTTGTGGTTTGGGGGTGCGGTGCCGACCAAGGCAGTGGCGGCTGTGGGCACATCGTCTCATTCACCGCCTTCCCAGCATTGCCCTTCTCAAAGCATGGCAGCACTGCATGCTGCGACGCAAGCGTGGGTGCTCTATGGCAGTGGTCAGCCTCTTAAGCCGCTGCACCCTGCTTGACACCTCGTGACACCGATAACACGACCAAGTAGTTGCTATGTGGCATGGCCGAAGGAGAAGCTTAGCCATTGGCAAGCACAGCACTCCGAAGAATGGAGGAGCTGCTATTTAAAGCCGTTGCAGTTCATGGTCATCATGGTCATGATGCGGTCAAAATCCAGGAGACGAACTTGGAGGGCCTGGTGCGCCTTCATTGCCATGAGGCAAGCAGCTGCTGGAGCTGCCGTGAGCAGTCTTAGCCAGTCAGCCGGCCAACGTCTTCAAAGTTCCTCGCCACTGGTTGTGCAATTCTTTGCCCCACAACAGATGCCATCATGCACTGAAAATGCCGAGGACTTTGCTTTAGCTGGTTGCTAAAGAGCACCCGACTACGTGCTTCTGCACTGATGCTCGGTCATGTGGGAAGAACCTCCCCTTCACACCCACCCACGTGTAAAAGACTTGGTTTGGAAGCCACTGCGTTTTTGTAACTGCAGTCTAGTGTTCCGACCTTGCAGTCATGCATTCTACATCAATTAAAAGCTTCTTTGGGGGACCCGTCTGGAAGCGCACGGCACGGAAAAGGAGTGCAGATCATCAGGATAAAGAGGAGTGGTAGGGTCGGTTGCAAACGGAAAACAGCAAACATCCAGGAGATGTGCGGCTTGGGTGCGTATCTCTCGGATGAAGGCCTGCTATCTGCATTGGTACAAATGCGCAGCCAGAGTCCGATGCCTGTGTAGGCGGAGGCTTGGAAGAATTTTTGCCTAGCTTTGAATGCAGGCTCGCTGCAAGCATCTGCAAGCACGCATTTTGTAAGGAATAAGGCGGCTCTGCGTGGTCTCCTGCAGACGGTGTTCAGCAGCTGGACATCATGCAGACGCAGGCGTATGGCTCCACAAGCTGCAGCACATGTTGGCCGAGACCTGAGTCGTGGAAAAGATGGCGCAACATGCGACACGAAACCGTTCCGACGCAACGGACAGGCAAGGCTCATGTGCGAAGAAGGCTGCATGATGCTGTGCATCGCTGGCTGCTGGCATGTGGGCGGAAGAGGCTAAAGGCGGATCTACCTTGCTGGGCGTGCAGGCTTCAGTCATTCTGTTTCATGAGGCCAGGGCTACAGGCAAGCCGGGGACTCATGCGCGAGACCCAGAGACGTTATCGAGACATTGTCTCTTGTACACAAACGTAGTTTTGGCCAGGTGAAGTGGGTGATGGAGTTGGAGGCGGCTCAGGTTGCTGAGTGACTTTGCAGCAGAGCTTCGCTATTTGCGACTTCGGTTGTTGTCAGCTTGTCTGTCCGAGGGCTTGCCTGACACGAGAAGAGGCCTCGATGTCAGCGGTCTCTCTGCACAAAGAGTTTTCGCACAAACATGTCCAGCACATGCATCCAAAGACCACCAGCCTGATCCAGCCTGCCTAGGCCAGGGCTGCTTTGCAAGATGGGCTCACTCTGGCCGCTCACGAAGCGAATTTAGCGAGGTGCGACGTGGAGCAAGGCCAAATGGAGCTGGAGGCTTGCAGCATCGCACGCATAGTAGGCATGTGCGATGGTGGTATTTATCTCATCTTCCATGAATGAAGGGACCAGGCAGGAAGCACGCGAGAAAGTAGTTCTGAGGCACTTCTCTTCTTTTTTTCTTTT